GCGCGAAATGGTGGGGCGGGTCACGAGGGGAGGCAGGTGCCGCAGTCAGCTGGTGAACAGAAGGCGGGGGGGGGGGGGGGACTGAGAGAAGGGAAGGGGAAGCAGGTGGCCCAGGCTAATCTGGGCAGGCCAAAGGAAGCGAGTAAAGCAGGCGGATCGATGTCGGCCTCATTGCCGAGAGTGGTACTCAAGGTGCGTGGTGAGACAATTAAACGAGACAAGGGAGAAGGCAAAGGCAGTGGGGAGGGGAGACAAGCTGGCGGTCCGAAGGAGTTGAAGAGGGAAGGGAAGGTGGAAAATGTTCGAGCGGGTGGGAAGAAGGAGGGGCAAGATGGTGTAGAAGATCTAAAGGCGGGTGGGCTGGTTGGGGGTGGCCTAGCTGGAGATGGTTCCTCGCTGGGGGCTGCTGCTGCGACAATAGGGGGAGGAAAGAAGAAGGTGGAGGAGAATGAGAACTCAACTACTCCATCGGCTGGGTCGCAGGTTGCTTTCCGGATGGTGGCGCCGTCAGACGATGAGATGGGGGATAGGAAGAGGACAGTGGATCTCGTGGAGGACCTAGCGAAGGATCCTACTCCGGTGAAGAAACTGTGTCTGGATGACTCGATGGAGGAGGCGCTGCCTCAAGAGGTTCCGAAAGGGGACGAGACTGGAATAAAGAATTCTGATGTTAAACAGGTGGAGGAAGCCGGCCTTGAGCGGCCCCAGTCAGCCAAATGAGGCTTCTCGCTTGGAACGTGAGGGGTATTGGGCCGTCCCTCACGTTTCAATCTATCCTAGGAGTAGTTCGGTCTAATAATCCAGAGATTGTTTTCTTTTCGGAGACCCGTTCGCGGCGCAAGGTTGTCTCTCGACGCCTTCGGGGTTTAGGTTTTGTTGATTTTTTCTTAGTAGATGCTGTCGATTCTGCTGGAGGGTTGGCAGTTGGTTGGGCCCCCGAGCTTTTAGTCTCGGTTCTTTGTAGTTCGTCGTTTTTTATTTCTATTTGTGTCGAAAAAGATGGAATAAAAGTTTGTGTGCTTTTTGTTTACTTGAGTTGTCGTGCGGTGGAGCGAGTTGGTCAAATTGATGAGTTGCGGCGAGTTTGCGCCGATATTTCGATACCATATATGGTGGTGGGGGATTTTAATGACATCTTAGCCTCTAATGAAAAAATGGGATGGAGGGCTTGGAATCCAGTGCATTCACAACCCTTTCGCGATTTTGTGGATGTATTGGGGCTCCAGGATCTTGGTTTCTCGGGGAACCCTTTTACGTGGACAAATCGGCGGATGGGGGACGCCTGCATTCAAGAGAGGCTGGACAGGGCCATGGTCTCGGATAGTTGGCTGCAGGTTTTCCCTGAATCGCTGGTGATTCATGGGACGGACCTAGGATCGGATCATAGAGCCCTCATTATGGCAGAAAAACCTTTCGCCCGTACAGCGAAGAGGTTGTTCCGCTTTGATGCGAGATGGGCAGATAATGCGGAGGTCCGCCCCATGGTGGAAAGTGTGTGGAATGAATCAGTCCAGGGATCAACCATGTACCAATTATGGGTCAAGCTTAAAAAAATGCGACACCGGCTGTTCCAATGGAGTAAGCCTGGAACAACTAATTCAGAGCGTCAGATTTGGGTCCTGCAGGCTGAGATTGGGGCCTTGAAGGAGGAACCCCAGGTGGATTGGGATCGGATTAATAAGTTAGAGCGGGAATTTACCTTGCAGTGGGCTGCGGAGGAAATGCATTGGAAACAGAAGTCACGGGTGCGGTGGCTTCGGACAGGGGATCAAAATTCATCGTATTTTCATACTGTGACCAGGGTCAGGAGAAGGAGGAATTTCGTTGACAAACTGCAGAGAGATGATGGCACTTGGGCTACAGAGGAGCCGGAGAAAGCGGAGGTGGCCGTGAGTTTTTATGAGCGTTTATTTACCGCTGAGGCGGATGTCCGGGGCATCCGGGATCGAGTGGCTGCTCTCCCGCTGGAGGCCAGAGTCACTGAACAAATGAATGGTGCTCTAGTAGCAGAGGTTACGGAAGAAGAGATTCGGAATACGGTCTTTAGCATGGGGTCGTTACAGGCGCCGGGATCAGATGGTTTTACTGGAAAATTCTTTAAATCTTTTTGGGACATCGTAGGGGAGTCGGTAGTTCTGGCTGTGCGTTCATTTTTTCAGAATGGGCATATCTTACGCAGCTTTAATCATACATGGCTAACCTTGATCCCGAAGGTGGAGAATGTTGAGAATATGCGTCAATTGCGACCTATTAGTTTGTGCCAATTTGTGTATAAGGTTATTACCAAAATCATGGCGGAAAGAATGGCGGTAGTCTTACCGGTAGTTGTGTCCTCTGGGCAGAATGGTTTCATCAGGAAACGTCAGATTGTGGATAATATTTTGATTGGGCATGAACTTATGCATTACCTCAAGAATAAGAGAACGGGTAAGAAAGGCTTTATGGCCTTGAAGGTGGATATGGATAAAGCCTATGACAGGGTCGAATGGCCTTTCTTACTAGCTGTTCTCGAAAAATTGGGGTTTAGCCAAGTCTGGATTCGATGGGTGCAGGAGTGTATCTCCTCGGCTTCCTTTTCGGTTATGGTAAATGGATGTCCTTCCGGTTTCTTTCGATCTTCGAGAGGACTTCGCCAGGGTGATCCTCTATCTCCTCTACTCTTTGTCATTTGCACGGAAGGGTTATCGGCTTTGCTTCGTCAGGCTATTGATCGGAAGAGGTTAGAAGGGGTTCGGGTGAGTCCTCGGGCGCCCCGGATTTCTCATCTTTTGTTTGCGGATGATTCCTATCTGTTCTTGCGAGGGTCTCTTCATGATTGCCATAATGTGATGGCGGTGCTCCAGGAATACGAGGCGTTGAGTGGGCAAAAGGTTAACTTAGCCAAGTCAGCGGTTTGCTTCAGTCGGAAAATTGATGGAGCCGATCAAGAAATCATGGGGAGTTGCTTGGGGATTGGCGCGATTGGGGTTCATGATAAATACCTGGGACTTCCTACGCTGGTGGCTAGATCTAAGTCTGATACTTTCCGGTTCTTGGAGGAAAAATTGCTTGAGCGGATTAAGGGGTGGAAGCAGCGCCATTTGTCGTGGGCGGCGAAGGAGACGCTTCTAAAATCAGTGGCTGGGGCTTTACCGATTCACGGGATGTCGTGTTTTAAATTACCCTTGACCCTCTGTCGGAGGATGGATAAGCATATGGCTCGTTTTTGGTGGGGATCCTCGGGAGGCCGGTCGGGCATTCCTTGGGTGTCGTGGCGGCGTCTCTGTCGCAGTAAACATGAGGGTGGAATGGGGTTCCGGAGATTTGAGGAGTTTAATCAGGCTTTATTAGCCAAAGTGGCATGGCGAATTCTTGATGAACCTGATTCATTGTTGGCCCGAGTGTTCCGGGGGAAGTATTTTCCTCATGGCTCTATCTTGTTGGCTAAGCTGGGCTCTCGGCCTTCCTGGGCTTGGCACAGCATCCTCCATGGTGCTCGCCTGCTGATGAAAGGGTTGGGGTGCCAGGTTGGGTCTGGTGAATCAATTCCCATTATGTCCAGTGGATGGATTCCTCAAATTTTTCCGCGATTTCCGGAGATGAAAGTTGGAGCACCCTTCGGTGGGGGAGAGTGTGTGGTATCGTTGATTGATCAGGAGACTCGCTCTTGGTGTCAAGATTGTCTGCTGCAGACATTCAGTTGGGACACAGTTTGTGCGATCCTCCAAGTCCCGATTCCGCGTTCTCCTTGCGAGGATGCCTGGGTATGGAGACTTGATCCTTCGGGGGAGTATACTGTGAAGTCAGGGTATCGGCTGGCTGCGAGTCTGAATCGGGTAACCCTGAGAACAAAGCCGGGATGTGATCCGGTGGATAGGGCGTTGTGGATTAAAGTCTGGGGTCTTGATGTGCAACCTAAGCTCAGACTTTTTATCTGGCAGCTCTTGCAGCGCACTCTCCCGACGATGGAGGCTTTGATCCGGAGAAAGGTCTTGGTACTACCACGCTGTCCCGTTTGCTGGGCCCCTGAAGAAAATATAGAGCACTTATTTTTCTGGTGCCCGGTGGCGAGAGTTATGTGGGAGATGTCAGGATTAGGGAATGAATTGGAGCTGGGTCAAGATCAAGCGTTCTCTATCTTCTTTCGACGGTTCTTAGAGAGGGATTCCTCTCCAGTACGAGTGGTTCGGCTTGTTTGTCTTCTCTGGCGGATTTGGAAGTCTAGAAATTTGGTGGCTTTTGAGGGACAACAGGATACGTTCTCCGTGTTGGAAAGGCAATTCAGATTTCAGGTCCAGGAGTGGATGGATTGCTTGTCTCCGGGTAGTGGGAGAGTAACGGGTCCAGTAAGTCAGGCGGTTGAGCCGGAGTTCGTGCCGGGTGTATATAGGTGCGCCTTTGATGGGGCGATTTCTTCTGGGTCGCATGGCTCAGTTGGGATTGTTCTACAGGATGAGGCGGGGGGGATTCTAATGGCACGGGGATTGTGTTGCCCTGGTATGGTGGATCCTATGTTAGTGGAGGCAATGGCGCTTCGTGATGCACTGTGCTGGTGTGCGGAGGCTGGTCTTGCGGCGGTTCAGTTTGTCGGGGATGCTAAGGTGGTGATCGATAAAGTCAATGCAGGGATCAGTAGGGACGCGAAGGCCGGGGCCCTCTTACAGGAAATCTGCCGGCTACTGGGAGCTAATGATGGGTTTAGAGTGATGTTTGTAGGTAGACAGAACAATAGGGTGGCCCATTTGGTGGCCAAGAAAGCCCTCGATTTGTTTCCTACGGGATGTGTTGGTTTTGATTTTCGGGCGTGGTTGTGCTCGGAATCTGGTTTGATGTAACTCTTTTGTCTTGTTAATGCAAGGATCTTTTCGACAAAAAAAAAAAAAAGACAGATAGTGAAATTTCTAGTGATTTTTTTAAAAATTAAATACAATTATCTAGTAAAAAGATTAAAAAAAAAAACACAAAGCAGCTAAGGACAAAGACAAGCCTAAGAATCATTCTAGGAGATATAAATTACCACCGTCTTGATCAATTGAACTCCAAACAAAAAAAAGAAGAAGCCGAGACTTGTATCAAGTTTCACTTCATTTGTTCTTTTTTCTGTACACTGCATACACACAAACACATATATCATACCCACAAAACCAGAATGCACACATCCAAAATCCAGACACAATAACACAAACAAAAATCAAAACTATCTTAGCTTCTTCCTCTTACCTGAAAACCAATGGATTCAAAGCTCGATCTCCTCCTCCGCTCTTTCACATTCTACATCTCATCAATCCTCTCCATAATCCGCTACTTCCTGACAAGCTTTAGCCGTTTCAAGCAAATCCCATCTGCATTCACCGTCTCCGACGCCTGCATTTCGCTTTACTTTCGCCTCCTCGGCCTCTCCCCTGTCTCGATCCACGTAGATGACGAGACAACCCTTCATTTCTGGGCTACCGCCGGTCGTGGTGGCCGTGACCGGAAACCTGATGATGAGAGGCCTAACCTGGTCATGATCCACGGCAAGTGCGGGGACTCTCGCTGGCAGTTCATGTACCAGGTTGGCCACCTGTCGCGGCGATTCGACCTCTACATCCCCGACCTGCTGTTCTTTGGCAAGTCCTACACGACCAGAAAGGAGAGATCAGAAGCCTTCCAAGCGAAATGCCTGGCGGAAGGACTCAGGAAGCTGGGGGTGGACAAGTTCTCGATTTACGGGATCAGCTACGGAGGCTATGTTGGGTATCATTTAGCTCACATGAGTCCTGACAGAGTTGAGAAAGTTGTGCTGATGAGCACTGGAGTGGGGTGCAACGACGACCAGAAGGACGAAATGGTGGCGCAACTCGGTAGAGATCCTAAAGAGCTGCTCGTCCCTCGAACTTCAGATGACCTGAGGGAGCTCATGTATAAGTCTGTTTACAAGAGCAATTACATGAAGCTGATTCCTGATTCTTTCCTTCAGGATTATCTCAATGTGGGAGTTTTCATTTTGTTAGTTTCCTCTTTCTGAGAGCTAATTCGAAAAACTTGTGTCATGTTTAGTTGCCATTTACTGCTTGTGGTTGATTGATTCCTCTGTGTTTCTTTTACCCATTCCAGGATGTAGGTAGTGTCCACAGGAAGGAAAAGATGGAGCTGGTGGATCATTTGTTGGCCAAGAACTTTGATGCAGGAAGAAGCCTTCCAGTTTTAACTCAGGTTTGGTCACCAAATCTTACGTGTAGCTTAAAACGGGCTATAAACCGCTCGATATTTGGTCTGAGGTTATTAGTATGTTTATGTTGAGCGAAAACTAGAAAGTGAGCAGATGGTAAGCTATCAGCCCCTTTCTCCAAGACAAAGGTTTCATCCTGGGAAATGGAAAACAATTCCTTTTCTGGAAATTACCTACTTGAAGTGAAACTAATCTCAAGGGGTCGGCCTAATAATAATACGAGAATGACAACCTCCATTATCACACCCTAAATTCAAACTTTCATCTTATCCTAAATCACAAACTAATGTTTCTTGTTTCAGGATACGCTTCTGATATGGGGCAACAAGGATTATGTGTTTCCAATGAATCTAGCTTACCAGCTGCAAAGGTAAAGCAATAAAACGCTCTTAGGCTACGCTGCTCTTAATAGTTTAACCTTGATGAAAAGGTTTTGATACTGAGGTGGGTAATATTTTTGACAGGCACTTGGGATCAAAAGCAAGAGTGGCAATAGTCAAAGACGCAGGGCATGCAGTAAATATGGACGCTCCTGATCAAGTTAACAGGCTCATCATATCATTCATTTTGGGTTAACTGGTCACAGTGTTCACCATTAATCATATCTTTCAGCTCAATTTGTTGAATTTTTGGATCAAATATTCATTCTTGTAATCATCGAAAAATATTCATTCTCGTAACGACGATAGGTTCATGATGTGCTTTGAAATTCCATCAAACAAAAGTACTTTAGAATCTAAAAAGTTGGACGAGTATGCGTTTGATCAAGAGAACATAGCACCAAACAAGCTCAAACAATATGCGAAATCAGATCGTCAATTCAGTCCAGTAGGCAAAACTCAAAATGACAAAGACTTGATGTAGAGGTTTAATCTTAAAAAGCTTACCAAGCAGTTGGAGCGGCCTGAGTCTTGTTTGTATATGGTTAGCTTTATGATTAGGTTCCATTCTCAGCCTGAAATCAACTACAAAGCTTCCTGCTGCCACTGTGTTTTACCTGCAATAGAACCTTAAAATGAGTTGGTGAGAACTTCTGTTAGTCTACTCAAGTTCGAGATTCTGGACTGCACCTATAATTGGTAGCAGAAGTTTTATGGTTAGGAATTTTCTTTTTTTTTTGGAAAATAAGCCTAGTAACTGAAAATAACTATGATGGAAGAAATGCTCCCTTTTCCCTCCAAGCTAATAAGTTCGTTAGAGTTTTAAGTATTTGGCTAGCTAATCTAACCTATTAGAAGACCTCCTACTGGTAAAGATTTGATTTCCATTTTCCTCCAAATATTCTATTTACGAGATTGCAACATGGTCTCAGAGCCTAGTTACTAAGATATGCCAAAAAGAATAATACAGGGTGATAGATAGGTAGCTACAGAGAGGAAGTAGAAATCAGTACACACTGTTTGAAGAAGCTGCTGAATACTGATAGGATATGTTGATGATCAAGCTACCACAGACAAGAAATCTCTGGAATGGGCTGAATGTGAACCCTGCAAATTGCAATGCGATTTTATAGACATGGATTACGGAATGCAGGGATATGAAGCAGAAAATAATAAGCGCCAACTGAAGAAGCTGCTGAATGCTGACTGAAGAGGCTGATGAGCAAGTTAGCAGAGAAAACATCTCCTGAATAGGCTGCAAGTCAGCCTTGCAATGCCATTTGCTAACGTGTCCGGAGTAGACTCTTCTTCTTCATCATCATCGTCTTCGTCCTCACTATAATCTTCTCCTTGTCCTTGATCCAATCCCAAGTAGCAGCCGTCCTTTTGAATCACTCGATCATCAACTTCAATATTTGGTATTTGAGCAATGTTGGGCCAGTCCAGAGCTGTTTGGCCTCTGCATCTCGTTGATAGATCACCACACAAGCTTACTTCCAGAGACTTCAACGCGGCGAGCTTTGTGAGCCACTCTGGTAAACCCTTCAGGGCGACACAATCATTCATCTGAAGCTTTTGCAAATTTGAGGAATGGCGTAGCCACTCCGGTAGATGTACCAACTTCGGAAGATTAAAGAAACGCAATGAATGCAGGTACGGGAGGGCACAAATTGGCATCATCGTCATCTTGTTCTTCTTCTCATCACCACCATGATCGTAGCCACCCTTCCAACTTGCGAGACAGGGACAACTGCTAAGCTCGAGCCTTTGGAGGGAAGTGAGGTGTTGAATAACAGCTGGAGACAGAGTCGTGAAGTCATTGCAGCGGCCTATGGAGAGTGATTCAAGGCAGGTAAGGTGTGGGAGTAAACCTTGTGGCAGAACCAGTAGGCCTTCGATTTTATGGAGTTTCAGTGATGTAAATCGCGAGAGCAATGGTGAAGAGGGTGGAGGAAGAGAGTCAACCAAGTCATCCAGTAGTTCACTCTTCACACCCCATAATTCAATATGCTCAACATGTGCTGAAAATTTAGGAGTTGAGACCATTTGGGGACAGTTATAAATGGTTAGCTGGGAAAGACAAAGGAGTTGGGATGACTTTTTCTCTGCCGACCAGCCTATTAGGTTGGTGCAACTCTTTATCTCGAGAGACTTGAGGGAGTGGAGAAGTTGTAACTCATTAGATGATGATGATGATGATGATGATGGTGTAGGTCCACTCTGAATGTACTCTAAGCTCTCTAAACATTGTAATGAAAACTCTTCAAGAGCAACCAATGGACCCAACAGTGGCAGTCTCAGCAGTTTGCGACAGTTTTTAATCTGGATCTTAACCAAATTCTTAAGAGAAGCAAAGCCACTTGAGAGGATCCTTCCACGGTAACCAGCCAGCATTAGCTCCTTCAGGTTTGCATGTGGCTGCAAAGCCTCCAGTAACCTCTCATCTCCAGCTGTAGTATCAGCAGTATCACTTTTGCACCCGGTCCACCGCAATTCCAGGTGTTAAAGATGCTTTTTCTCCTTCAAACTGGCTGCCACAGCTTCAAGTTCATCCTTCACAAGTTCCAGCCTTTTAATCCTCAGCTTCCCGCTAAGATTGTTCAAATCCTTCAGTTCACTAATTCTAGCAGCTTCATAGTCTGTAGCTGCTCCCACTATGAAAATAGACAATTCTCTCAAGGAAGAGAGCTTCCCAATCCCAACGGGCATACATTTCAAGCTGGTGCACTCCTGCAGGTTGAGATACAAAAGATTGGACAGCTTCCCGAAACCTCTTGGTAATTTCTGAAGAACAGCGCATCCGTACAACTTGAGCACTTGCAAGTTCACTAAACATGTGATCTCCTCAGGAAGCACGATAGTGCCATTGAAAGAAAGGTCAAGATACCTAAGATGCTTCAACTTACGAATGTTATGTGGCATGATCTTCCTTTCCTCCCTGTTCGGAGACAACGTTCTCATGCCAGTCATTGTTGTGAAGATTTTCTCATCCACTCCTCCCTTCCAATATATATTTTCCCCAGCTAGATTCATATATGTTCGCAATTTTGTTGCTTTGACCAAAAAATTCGGAAAAAACAGCCGTCTGTCACTATTCCATGGCTCTGTTGAATCACCAATTGATACATGACGAATCCTTTCCAGATCGGTATGTTGCCTTTCAAGGTTGCTATCAATCGAATTGCAGATATTCAAGACAATAGTCTCCTTCCCAGAAACTTCCATAGCCAGATCATGCATCAAGTCATGCATCTTACAGTATTCTATATTCCCCCATTTATCCTTCGTCGCCTCTTGAAAGAAGGACCTGTGGAGCAGACTCTTAAAATATTCGACACCAACATCATCGAGAAAAGATGATTGGCTAGACTCGACATATCCTTGCGCCATCCACAATTGCACCAGCCTTTTCACTTCAATCTTGTGATCTTTCGGGAACAAGCCACAGTAAGCAAAACAACGCTTCAAATTGGAAGGCAAATTGTTGTAACTCACTCTGAGGGTTGCCAAAATTGCATTCTCTTTACCGTCCAAACCAAAACCTAATAGTTGCTTATTTTTTACAGACTCCCACTCTTGTTCTGTGTCTTTGAAGTATAAAAGTCCCCCCATCGTTCTTATAGCTAGAGGCACTCCTCTACATTTGCCAACAATCTCTTTACCTATCTCCACATAGTTTGGACTTGAAGTAGCTCCTCCCCTAAATGCCAACTTCTCGAACAAAGTCCATGACTCGGCTTTAGATAAACCTTGTAATTCATGTGGCACTATGGTCTCAGTTGCCATTATGTCCGCGACAATTTGAATGCGCGTGGTTACCACAATTTTACTGCCTTCTCTCGCGCCACTGGACAGCATGTTCTTGAAGCGAGCCCATTTTTCCCTATCCTCGTTCCATACATCGTCCAACACCAACAGAAACCTTTTGTCTTTGATTGCCTCATGAAGAAGCTCCTTCACTGTGTTCGCCTCAAGGTCCTTACTCACTTCTTTTTTGGTGGCCGACTCCAGAACCTTTCTTATTAAGAAACTCGGATCGAAATTTTCGGAAACGCAGACCCAAAGTTTGAGCTCAAAATGTGATTTCACCTTGTCATCATTATAAAGAAGCTGAGCTAGTGTTGTCTTCCCCAATCCACCAATCCCAACTATGGGAATGACTGCAACCTTCTCTTTGTAATTGGAAAGCCGTACCATATCAATCAGTTTCCATTTGTCTTCTTCTCTCCCAACAACTGCATCAGGGACAGAGGAATCAGTTCGCCTCCAGTCCCCAACAGCAACAGCCTGCTCCATGGAGTGCATTTTGAATTTAAACCGCTCCTTAACCATAGCAATCTCATCTAGCTTGCTTTGAACTTCCTTGATTGCACGAGCCATTTCCAACCCATAAACAATTTGGTTGGAACCTGAAAAGAAGAGATGCACCTCGTTTGCGACGCAATTGCCATCCATTTGTTGCTTCCGTACAGCCTCGGTGGCGAGATCATCCAACAAGTCATCCACATCGTAAAGGACCTCCTTTAGCTGACCAAGCCAATGTTGGACCTGATGATTATGACTGGACTGCTCCTCCGCATCTAACAACACCGCTTTGATGGAGGAAACCGTCCTCTCCAGCTTGGATATCTCACTCCTCAAACCCCAAAGGTAGCCTAGCTGCTCAGCAGCCAGAGGAGCCAACTTCTTGAGAACTGCCTCCGCCATGCTGAATGCCATTTCCTTGGGAAGAAAGAGTAACGCCCTTTTTGCGGTTGAGAGGGAGTTCAATGGTACAGGAAGACTAGCAAGAAATAGTAAGAGGGGTTTGGATCTAAAGACCAAACAGCATTTGATTCAAAATGAGAGAACATGGAGCCTTCAAAGTCGCCAACTTAACCCACTTGCCAATTTTTATGCTTTGGCTATTGATAGGTCATTGACTTCAACAAACGCTCAATGTGAATCCAATGACCCAATGCGGTTATTCGCATCATTAGTTTGTTCTTCCCAATTAGCCGCCATGTTAGGAACTATCTACGCAGAACAGGCGATACACAAATGGAAATACCGATATGGAATCCTGCTTAGCCGAAGTCCCAGAGAGAAAAACTATTACCAGAGAGAGCCAAGAAGACGGAAAATCACTTCTCTGCAAACAGTTCTTCTAGTTTCGAGCCCTTCGTGGTTCTTAGCTCTTTCGGTACGAGTATGAAAATTAGCGGTAAGAAGAATTTTGGATTTCTGCGCTTCTTCTCTTCGCTGTTCCCTTCTCACTGCTTCGCCGGTGAACCATTTTGGATTTACGAAGAGAGGGAAGGAACTAGGAAGACTCGAAGAATTGGGGATGGAGGGGAAATTTGAAGCGGAGTGTAATATATAATACTAATTAAATAGAAAAAGGGGAAAACAAAGAAGTTTGATGACTGATTTGTTACTTCACAATCTGTTGATCCGTTTGGTCAATGACTAAAGTATAGTGACCATTGAATATTTTAGCCAAACATACATTAACCACCGGTCGTCCCCGGCAAGTTACTTATATCTACTCTTTTTTTCTTTCCCGCACCACGCCGTCCCATAATCCAATCAACCGCCTTCGCGTTTCCGCCGTTCTCTCATCGATTCCCACCGTCACAGATAAACTCCGGCATCAGTCCGGTTTCCGCTCCTTTCCTTCCCGCCGTCGCTAGATGCTACTGAAATCCTTCGGAGAATGTCTTCGCACGAGCAAGCCCTGGCCTCTCTAGTCACGCAATTGGCCTTCTCATTCGACGGCGCGGTCCTTGGCGTAGCCCTAGCGTACGCCGCCGTGCGTTCGTTTCTCAAGTTTGCCGCTGGCTCGAAAGCGCTTGGAAAAATCCGCGCTGCTCCCGTGCTCCGCGTGTCCGATCTCCGCTCACTTCTCGACGCGCCTCCGCCGCAGTCTGATCAGGAGGCGAACAGCGAGCTTGATCGAAGCAGTATCAGTGATCGGAAGCTGGTGATTGTGCGGGGACAAGTGGAGGCGAACTCTGCCGTCGATGGGAGCTGGAAGAGCAGCCTGAGGCCTAACGTGCTGGTTTCTCACGAGTCTGGTGATAAAGCTGTGGTCATACAGAGGACTCAAACTGTGAGTGCATTCCGTTTCTGGTGCCTCGATGTAGAATGTTTTAATGAATAAAACTTCAATTGGATTGGAAGTAAGTGAGAATGGCGCAATAGAGAGGTGTATTGGAGAGTAGGAATCGAGGCATTCGAGTAGCAGCAGAATATCTTTAGTGTGATTCACATACGGTCATTTGCTATACAATTCTAATCTGCAAATTTTTCATAGGAAAACTCGCTGGCTAGAGTCGGGAGTGTTTGGATTTGGTTGATGAAGGCTCTGGTGATTGTGGAAGCTCATCATAAGTTTTAAGGAAGTGATTGTTAAGCAAGTGGTACTGAAAGTTGTGTAGTTCATATTTGTCAGGGCTAGCTAAGAGTAGAGTGGTTGAAATCCGATTTGGCTGTTTGGAGGGTTTACTGATATCGTTTTTTTGTATCTGCCTGACGAGATTTGCAACCGTATGATTTTGAAAAAGAAAACCGTGTTTGGTAAGCTGATTCTAAGATATCTAGAGAACTTGGATGGTTTTATGTGTTTCGTATGAATTTGAATGATTCGATCAGGTGTGGTATGTGTAAGTTGTGGCCTTGTGACTTGGTTGAGGACTTGAACTGTGAGTGCGTTTCGTTTATGTTTTTCTCACTTTTCACTGTGGAATGTTGTGATGACTGAAACTTCATTAGTTTGGAAGCAAATGATAATGGAGCAATAGAGAGAGGTGAAAGTGTCATTTGCTAGAAGCCTAGAAGATTCTGATTTGCACATTGTTCTTATGCAAAATTGTCTGAAGTGTTTTGGATCCCGTTGGCGATGGCATTGGTTTTTGTTGAAGCTCATCAAAAGTTCGGAGAAACTGCTTGTTAAGAAAGTGGCACTTAAAGTTGTAGTTCTTATTCGTCAGAGCTAGTGAACAATAGAGGGGTTAAGATTTATACTAGTTGGAGGATTTAGTGTTAGTGCTGTTTGTATCTGCCTTATGAGAGTGCAATGTTGCTGCACTTTGCTACTAGATTTGTTTTGAAAATGAAAATCGTGTATGGTAAGAAGAGATTAGACAACATGGGGAGTTTTATCCATTTATATGCAACGATTCTCTAGCTTAGGTGTCTGTGTAAATGGTGGGCTAATGACTTATATACTTGAGATTTGGCCAAAAGTAGGATCTGCTATAAAGAATCATGGGGTTTCCTTCGGAAAATGTCTGATTCTGTTTTTGTAATCATTAGCATTGCAAGGACAATTGAAGGCTAACATAGTTGTCCACTTTGTGTGTTTTTGCACCCAGTGCTTGTACAATGAATGGAAGGGCTTTTTTGGCTGGACCTCTGATATACGAGCTATCTTTGGAAAATCTTGGAGGGAGCAAGAATCAATGTCGTTAAGAACCGTGAGTTACTTCACTGGACTCTGCACTTTTATATTCTATTATTCCATCTCTTTCTTATCATCAATAGTAGATCGCTGATCTGAAAATGTTCATTGTCTGACTTCTTGATAAATAAAAAACTTTGGCATGGTGCGGAAATGCAATGTCTAGATCATTCAATTTTGCAGCACAGAAGATTGTTTTGATGGAATTGAGCCAACATAATTTGTCTTTATGAACTTTATATGCTTTCAAAATACAAAGAGAGAAATTGAGCAATGTAGAAGTTAAGTGTATGCAGTGATACGGCTTTAATCTCAATTATTAGAATGTTAGCATGGTACTTAATTGTTATTTTTCCATCTAGGAATTTTGTAAAAATATCCCAATCTTGTAACCAATGTTACAATGTGTTTGGATGTCATTGCTTACCATCATATCTCTTTTAGGGAACCTTGTCTGTTACCATAGTTACAGAATCTTCTATCAGAAGTTATAGAACCTTGCTAATGTTACATGAATGTAGTGCTTTATGCTAGTTTGTTTGTCATTGTGATTGCTTCTATGGTTCAAAGGTGTGTCATACTCCATTTAAACAATTCGTCGTGTTTGCAGGTTCCTTTTGTTCTTCTTGAAACTGGCAAGTGGCCACAATCTGAATATGTTGTTATCAACATGGATGCTTCACGACATCCCCTACCCCTCACGACAGTTTATCACCAGTTGCAACCCATTGATGCTTCTCCTTATACATTTCTTCAGGCACTATTTGGTCATGAATACCCTGTAAGAGTTATGGCTCATCAATCGGTTGACTAATTTCAATACATCTCCATGTCTCTGCCATTACAAACTGTTGGTTTCTCATTTCCTTGAGATGCTATTCAATTGCAGCTTGAACAATTGAGTCATTCTTATAGTTTCGCAATTGGTTAATCTTAACTATGTTGATGCACAAAGTCATTCGGTTTATTTAATTTTATGTTGAAGGTTGGTCTACTTGATGAGGAGAAGATACTTCCAATAGGAAAGGAGATAACTGCTATTGGAATGTGCGGTTCCAGAAGTGGAATTCCTGAGATATCACCTTGCAGAGATCTTCCTTATTTTCTGTAAGTAGGCCTTCTTACCATAGTTGTTAATAGGTCAATATACACTAACCAGTACGTTCCAACTAGCAGGCGTGGCTTTAAACAACATATTGATCTCCTGCTTAAATTTCATGAGAACTTAAAACAAATGGTCATTGGAAAATTGTTAACAATTTGCACTGAACAGTTACATTATTCTTTGTGAACTATTATTGGGATTTGCAGCTTAAGTGCTTCCTGTACTTTGATGATTTCCTAGGTCTTGTACACTACTTGCCTCCAAAGAGTGTCAGTTGAAGCAATAATGTGTTTGATGATTGATGCAATTTTTTTTGGCTGACCTTTATATAATTATGTTTTTTAATCTTATTATGGCCTCACCAGTGTGATCCTCTCCATTACCCTAGGAATTAACAACAAAAGGAAAAATGACAAAACAGACAATATCAGGGATGATTTCCACAAACCCTCACCTAGGGGTGGGCTTTTTTAAGTCCTTGGGACCCTAGGATTGGGCACCCTCAAGGATTCTCATTTCCATGGATATAGTAATTAGCACCCTTTTTTGCTCCACCAGACAAGGGATTTGGAAGAAAGCCTCTACTCATGGAATTCTCGCTCAAGCCTATGAGTCATTCAAATGTGCTTGTTTGTTCTCTCTGTTGCTGATTTTTGTGATTGCCTTCACAACGTACTTGTTTTATTCGGTGGTCATTAGTGCTTGAAAAGCTTTTCCATCCTGCAGTTCTGACATGACCAAGGATCAAATGGTTTTGGATCTGGGCTTCAAGACGAAAGTACTATTGTGGAGTGGCATTGCTCTCGGTTCACTCTCTGCCGGCATTCTTAGCTATGCATTCGTGAGGAACTGGAGCAAATGGAAACTGTGGAGGCAACAGAGACTGTCTCAGCAGTCAAGGGAAGAAACTAGTGATCCCCCTCTTCTCGATTCCGAGGAGGATGTCACGGATGTACCAGACGGGCAGTTGTGCGTCATATGTCTCATGAGGAGGAGGCGTTCCGCCTTCATCCCCTGCGGGCACCTCGTCTGCTGCCAAGTCTGTGCTATATCGGTCGAGCGCGAGTCGTCCCCCAAGTGCCCTCTCTGTCGGCAGCTCATCCGGAACTCAATCAGGATATTCGATACTTAATATGTGAGGTCTCAAAGTAACAAATCCAGCAACCATGGCCATTGTTTGAGGTATAGTAGCCTGATCTGTTACTTCTTGACTTTTGCTGCTGGTTTCAATTAGAAGGCCCGACTTGTTTGTGAATATATAAAAGAGTAGATCGAAGGGGGCGTTTTACCTGAAAAGAGTGAGCATGTCAGTTTGTTGACATCATGTTCTTGTGTCCACTAGTTCTTGTCATTTTGCGTTGACATTATGTAGATGAATCTTTAAGCTCGTTTGATTGGATAGCAGAATCCAGCACAGCAAAAAAAACGCCCTAGTAGTTGCCAAAACTTGCTCAATTTGGTACATTGAATCTCTGTCTGTTGGCCGTTGTCTCGATGTGGAGTTTCTTTGTTCATTCGAGACAAAAAGATTCTGCATGTATTATTGTAACTTCCATCTCTGAAATCGACATTAAAAAAAAAAAAAAAGAATTCAATGTGTTGCACTGTTGTCGAGTTTGTTTGTTGAGATTTTGTCATTGTCGCTTCATTTCAAAATTACATGTTTCTTCGTCCGACTCGGGAGGTGTCAAATGGGTTGGGTCTATACGCTCGAGTTGCAGATCGGTTACGAGTCATTATAGATCATGGGTCGAAGTGGCAGGTCGTTAGTAGTCGCGAGTGTTTGATAAAACCGGTTTGTACTACGAAGTGGATCATATCGGGTCACGAGTCGTGTTTCTCTTTCCTTTTTTCATTCGCATGTATGTCACGAGCCGATGAGTCGAAAAGAGTTGGGTCATAATTGGGTCCACTAGTCACTTGTTGAGACACTTTGAGATGGGAATCGAATAGACTAATGAATCGGGTCAACCATTGCTGCTGCTGCTGCCTGCATGTTGCAATCAAGACTTTTAAAAGGACTTGTATTGAAAATTATATCTTAGTACTACTGTCTCTTACTTGCGACTTGTTCAGGCAATAGAATACATGAGGAAACTATATTGTAGTAAGAAAGCGGGCTTTCTCTTCTCAGGACTTGGTGATAGGGTTGTCGAGTCCCTCTCTGTTTGATGAATTGATGACTATTGACTACCCAAGATTAAGATATGGATTTTGGATTGGGCCCATCACCTGAAAGATCCAAATCTATCCCCCAACTTGAGGAAGCCCTTCGTATTAGGACACGTCATCTTATTAATTAATTTAATTCCTTTATTCTAAAGTCTAAACCAAGTAATTTACATGTTTGATTTGGGACTATATATGAGAACTCAAGACTCCAACTTTGTGCACACACTGACCAATTGGATTCAGATCCCGGTGCTTAACTTTTTCACTTAATTTAACGTATTATGTCTGGTTTTTTTTTTTTAATGTTTTGAGTTTGTAGTAGTTGATACGTTTGAAATACTTTGATTCTCCTCCTTTCCTTCATTTGATTTGTGTAAAATTCGATTTGGTGTTTCTTTTAGCTCATTGTTTTTTTATATTGAGAAACATGTGCAAAAATTGATTCACTCAATTTACTATATATCTCAATCGCCTCATAATACAATAGTTGTTCGGTAATTTGGTTAATAAGAGTACTAGCTTTGTACCCGGCCGGTTGGCCGGGCGAGTTTCATTTGATTATTTATGTTAATTAAGCATAATTTTATATTTAATTTATTTTCCTATTTTGTACATTCTTTAGAATAATTTGTTCTCCAATATGTGGCTTCAATATTGATCTAACAAAAAAAAAATATTGATCTACGAAAGGTTGAACTATTTCCTTTGCCTAACTTATCAAGCAATAATTTTGTGCTTCTACCATAATAGTCTGAGAAAAGCTGAGCACACTCAAGACTCCGGAGTGGGCATGATTGGCGCCCATGGGTTTAGATCGGAATAACAAGTTGACCTGAACACCCGGAATGGTAGTACTTGCGCGTTAGGCGCCTAGGGTGAGTTGTGCGCACCTAGGGAGGGCGCCCGAAATCACCATCGGAGCGGGCGCCCGGGATTACTCATTAAATGCAAGGGTGACGTGGGAATCCGTACAGGAAGGTCCAGGTAAGCAATGATCGGCTATAAATAGCGAGGTTGGTAAGCATTTACTCAATTTGGCTTCTCTCACTAAAATCGTGCATTGTAAGCACTTCTCTCACTAAGAAAGATCCTAACTTGAGCGTTGGAGGACTAACGGGCCACAAGGCCCACCTCTGTGAGTGCAGGTTCATTCGTGAGGGATTCGGCTGGTACGGAAGGGAAGTTGGAAGATCAAGCGGGCTTCAACACGATGTATGTTTTAAAGTTAGTTACTCAACTCTTAATCGAGAAATATTAAATGTCGTCTAAACTGCTAGATCGATCATAGACATATGTTGAAAATCCTCATAATTTATTGTGGTTATTTATGACGATTTAATTCTATAATATTAACTTTTGTAAACAATCTAATATTAACTCATGCTTTTGACATTGATTGGTTAAACCGTTCTTAGAAAATAAAATGGTGAATTATGAAGTGCCAATATAAGTATTTAGAAAAGAACATTTATCCACCAAAAATCCATAATATTGAACTAATATGTTCAAAAGAAAATTATTGAATATTACCAAAGAAAAATTGAAACTAATTATCTCGTCCAATATCCTATATTATTGAATAATCTGGTCCAGAAAAAAAGGCTTGAGACATAATATGCCACATATGTCCAAAAACAAAATCAATTCATCCCATTTAAATGAATAACTGCTTAGTTAAAAAACAACACGAATTTTTTTAAAATTAAATAAAACCACATGCTAAAAAATCGGGATCAAAATACAGTTCCACCAAAAACAATTCGTTGTATTCCTCCGGAAAAATTGAGCGCAGGCAAAAGTTGCCTATTAAAGCGAAAAAAAAGGAAAAAGAATCATAATTCCGAAATTCACGGGGAAGCCTCCAAAGCTGACGTGGAGAGGGCTGTTTTCTTAATCTGCTTTAATATATTTTAAGATAGGGTGAAAATATACTCTTGATTATTTCACACATGAAAGTAAGTAGAAATAATCGGTGCGACAAAATCAACGTTGATATACGTGGGATATGAGTAAACTCACTAGTCTCAATTCAGACTAAAACGTAATATGAGATTATGATTGACGAAACCTAAAAATGTATGGAATGAAATGCTATAAGTAATGAAAGAGTTTATCAACAAAAGAAATCCTTCCTAAACCCTAATTCCCAAATTAGCTCAGAACGATTCTTAACAAAGTGTATGTGTATCCTTTGATTCCTTTCCTACTGCACCAAAAAGATGATCTTACATACAACAAGATCATGGCGTTGCCATTTAACCAAAACATCCACAAAATTTGTAAAAGCGTAAAAAAAGGACCAAAAACCTTTTACTTGTTTTTTACCATTTACAGCGGATGAACATAAACAAACACACAAAAAAAAAGGAGAATCTGCAGACTGCAGATCTCCCGCCAAAAGATAAACTATTTCAGATTCTGTTCTTCAATCTGCTTAACCCCAATACATTCACTCCCCGTCGCCGCCGCCTTCTTCCAGCTTCCACAGCGAGCAGAACGACACCGGCTGCCCTTTCCACCACAACCCCACGAACCCATCCCTCTCCTCCACCCTCATCTCCCAATTCCCATCGTGCTTCCTCAGCAGAGCTCGAGCTTCATCAATGGCGTCTTCCCCAAACCCTTCCCCGCAGAACCCAACCCCTCTCATCCTCTCGCACCACTTCTCCTTCCTCTCGTTCTTCATCTCCCCACCTCCACCTCTCACGAGCGCCCTCGCCGCTTCCCCTTCCATCATCCTCCTCTCCTCGCTCTCCCTCCCTTTGAACGCCGAGCTCGTCGAGTCCAAGAACCGCCACAGGTACTCCACTCTCCGAGAAAACCCCGTCGGGAAATCCACGCACCCGTTGCAGCTGCAATCCATGTTGTTCTCGCTCAGAACCACTCCCTTGGGCTCCAATCGCCTCAGGGTCTTCAGAAACTCTGTTCTCTCGTCGGGATTGTTGTGGCTCAGCCCGTGGAGGCGGAATTGGGCGCACACGATTAGGGTTTCCTCGTGATTCGTGTCGATGATTTGGGGATTTAGGGTTTGCAACGGGCGGTTGTCGAGGCGGTTGATCTGCAGGTTTATGTTCATCGATTTGGCGAAACAGAGCAGCCTGGTGGCGAAATTGTCCCCCGGAGGTCCGATCGAGAACGGGGTTTCTCCGATCTGGTTGGTTTCCATGGCGGCGGCGGTCAATAGAGTGATTCTCACCAGCGGCGGCGGCCCGCCGGTGCGGCGGGTGAGAGCTTCGAGCAGGGTCGGCCACTGGACGCCGTGGGAAACGCCGATGTCGAGGATGTGAAGGTTTCGCAACGGATCGGTTTCTTGACCGAGGATTTGGAGGATCGACGCGTTGGCGATCTTGTTCGGAAACGAGAACCAGGGGCTGACCTCGTAGAATTTCAGCAGCGATTTCTGGAAGAATTTGGGCTCCGTCGTGGCGAACGTGATGGACCCGGCCGCCGTCGCCGGCGGCGGGGGAGAAGCAGGGGATAAGTGGTGGGTGAGGGATCGGAGGCCGTAGGCGGCGAGGCGGTGGTTGGCGCTTCCGGTGAGGGAGGAGAGCTCGTGGAGGACGTAGAGCAGGTGCTGGACGCGGGAGAAGTTGGCGGCGGCGATGGCGGCGGCGCAGGGATTCAGGAGCTGCTCTGCCCACCTCCCTTCCTTGTTGCTCCCGTCCTTGTTATTACTCCCGCTCCCCTGACTCTGCTTCCCGCCTTTCTTCCCTCCGCTCGCCCTCCTTCCGCCGCCGCCGCCGGCTGCTGCTGGGATAGCAGAATCCTCATGCTGATCGTCGACAAAGCTCTGGCTTTTCTTCGGGTTGCTGATCGGGGCGGGTCTCGGAGCGGGCGAATCGGGCAATTTGCGCTTCTTCGGTGGGGGGTTGGAGATCGTTGGCTGTGGCGTTGGATGATCGAATTTGATCGGGTTCTCAGGTTGAGTCAGAAGGGAGGTGGAGTAATTTTGGAATGTACTGTTATTGGTAGGGGGAAGAAGAAGGCTTTGAGGAGGAGTTGCAGCCGCTGCCATTGTTGCCGTTGCGTTGAAGCTTCCATTCTGCTGATTGTGTTGCATCGGAGGAGTGGCGGTGGCAAGAGGGTCGCCGCCGCCGAATTCGTCGGCCTGATTCCAACCGGAAATCCATTGGTAGGAGTTGAGATCGTTGGGATCGTCTAGGAAAGATGGGAGGTAGGAGACTGATTCCAACCAGCAATCCAACATGTGATCGGACTCCGCCGCAGCGGCCCCGGCCGGAGTTTGCTGATGGATTTGGGTGCTTGGCTCTGATTCTTCACTGCCCATTTTCTCTCTCACCCTGAAGAAGAAGAAGAAGAAGAAGTTTGTGGTAAGTGAGGAACTTGTGTGATCATTGACCAAAAGGGAAGGTGGAGAAGTCAGAAGAGGGATCTGGGAGGGAATAAGGGAAGAGTTTGGGTATGATTTGGTAAGAATAGCTAACTTACTTAGAGAGCATGTTGTTGTGTTGTTATTATTGTTGATTTTGGAAGATATGGTGTTTGTGTATATAAAGGGAGCAATGAGAGAGAGAGGGATTGGAAGGGAAGTGTCTAATCTTTGTTCTGGTTATTAACTTATTATCCAACACTTTGTTTTGTTTTTTGTTCTTTGTGTGCTTATTGTTCTGTCTTATAGTGGTAGTTGAGGGTAGTTCTGAGATCAACAAAAGTCTTAATCTTTTTTTTTCTTAAACTCTTTTGGGTTTTTACTGGGAAATGAAAACTCTGCTTCTTGTGAGTTTGGATTTGGCTATACCAATTTGGAGTTATTAAGTTTGCCTATTTTGTTGGGGAAGAACTGGATGCTACTTCACCTTAACTTTTTCTCAAGTTTCTCACTTGGATTGGGATTATTTGGGCCAATCTTAGACTTATTATTGGTGCCCAATTTGGATGTGCCCTTGGATACAAGTGACCTTATCTTGTAATAGGTGTGCAATGTAGTAATTTTATGATATTTCGAGGTTTTCGTATAATAATTTATAAATAAATTTGTCAAGAATCAAGTGATCCTAATAACAATTCAAGTTGTTGTTGGGACTTGGGAAATGTTCAATAATAGATCATATATCACATAGCAACACTCTTCTTTAAACGAAAGTCACTCATAAGGCTTGAAGTTTGTACATTTCTGATTACCATTTGTTTAACAAACAAAGATTGTGAAAATTCGAGCACATGTGATATTGGGTGTTTCATCGGCGTATTACATGTGCAAGTAAACCAGTGAACTAAACTTAAAAAATAGAACAAACAACTAGGTTCACGAATCATGTCACATATAGTATTCCTCAAATCATCAAAGGTGTCAACCAATTGAAACGCAGTTTTGCTAATGACGGCAGGATTTGGGGGAGAGGAAGGGATTGAATCTCTAAGTAAATTGTCAAGAGACGGCAAACTCTTGTCTAATGACAAAGAAGTGATTAGTCTCCATTCCGCTTGTGTTTTGCAATCTCTGCCGTTAGGAAAGATCCCCCTCCCTCTTTTTAGTGACTTCAAATATGTCTACTAGTGTTTGTAATGAAAAGCCAGAAAATGACTTGTCGATCTACCTCAGCTCTGCTCTAACTCTAATTCTCTAAGTTTGGGTTGAGGGGTTGAGCTCTTTCATGAGCCAAACTAGATAATTTGCCACAAAACTTTAGGGTCACTAAAGTATTAGTCATTGAAATTCGGATTTTAACCAATATGACATTGAAATCTAAAATTGTAAAGCCATGATAAACCGTTCTCAGAGAAATTTTCATTTAGTCATTCAGCAAGTTGACTAACATTTATAATAAGTTTACCGTAAATTCGTAAGATTATAGCAATTGAGACACTCCCAACTATGTCTCATGTGGATCTCTGTAGTATTTGCATAGAATTTTTTATTACTCCAACAACCAACCGTGTAGAAAAAATTATTGTGTTTTAGGATTTTGATACAATCAACAGTTTATAATTTGCATTACAACATTACACAACATAGTAACCAATAATAGTAATGAAATATACTTTATTCTCCGCCTTTAGAAGTCGATGGTCAGTGTGTAGTGCGGTTAGGAAATATGATGACTTTTCGATAGTATCAACAACAAAATTTTGGTCATGTAAAATATGGTGCAGGTAATTCGGGTGACCCACAATCCACCCACCACCCGTCAGAATAAGTGCGGGTATAAGATTTATAATACGCAATTCACCCACCCACTACAGTTTAATAACCCCGAACCGTAAGTTATCGATATCAAACTGTGGATTAGGTGTGTAAGCTTGACTTTAGATATCCACTATCCCGCCACAATCTTGAATGTCGAGTTCGATCAGTTTGTCTACATAGTCAAATTATGGTCACAGTTTGGAAACTTATTTGGATCATATCGACGGAAAACGTGACGGCAACGGAGGAAGGTAGTAAATTGTTTGTGATTCCGGAGTTTAGTGATCGTTAATGTAACTGACCAGTTATCTATTCTCACCAGTAGAACCCCTCGCATACAATTATTTGACTCTATTCTTTTGTTAATGACTTAATTAGCTTAAACACTGAATTATTGGTTTCATTTGGAGGTTTGTTTATTAATCGAAATGACGACCGTAGCCAAAATTAATTGGACCCAATCTCCATTTTCCCGATTTGTTTTTGCTTTTGACTTTCCCCCTGTTATTTTCTTAAGAAACAAACAGCCATTTGATGGCTAGGTTTCTGCCGCCACGTAGCCCCACAAAAATGAATTAATTAGCTCCACTAATTAAAAATTTCCTTCCCATAAAAAAAAAATTAAAAATTTCCTAACCTTGCCTTTCCAATATTTTGGAACTTGGAAACTGGTTTAGAAGGTCAAGTACGTCGTTGTCCATTCAGTATATGATGTTTGAGTACATAAGTGTGAGTTATGTTCAGTTGTATAGAGGCATGGGATGATATTCAATTATGATATTAGTGTGTTACTAATATCTATAAATGAATTACTCAACCGAAAAACACAATATTTTATTTAGTATTAAGATGTATGGTTTTTTTATATATTATTATCTTCGAGCAAAAGTATCATTATATATAAGTAATTATTTATAAGAGAATTGAACATTCATTTCTTTTTATTAATGAAGATGTCAAACTCAACTTACAAGTAGGAATGGCAATGTGACAGGTCGGGCGGCTTTCTTGGTACTCAGACCCGCCTCGTGACAGATCGGGTAATTTATTATGGGTCGCGGGTCGGAGCAGATCGACCCAATGGGTATGCAATTTATATGAAATATTCGTTATTTTTATTATAAGATCAAGAAAAAAAAATAATATTATGATAAATGTGGTTAAATTATTGGAGAAATTGAGGTTTTCACTAATTTATAACTTTATTATAGCTAAAATATGATATAATAAAAGGAAAATCCTAAGTAATTTGACTAAGATTATAAGTAATTTAGACAAAAACGGGTCGAGAATGGAGCGGGTCAGGGTAGGTCGGGTCGATGAGAGTACCCATGCTCGTCCCGCCCGGCCCCAAAACAGACTAAATAGGTCGGGTAAAACAGGTCAGGTCGAAATTTCCATCCCTATTTACAAGAACACCGAATCAAATTTAAAACCCCTAACTCGAGGATTAATACCGAATATTACACGGTGAGTTAACTTATCAACATTCCACTTGATTAATTTGTCTCCCTCCAAAGTCAACGTCAAAGATTTGGAGTCAAATATAATCCTTTAGATGCCCTTAAGGTATACGAAGGAAAATATGTACATCTAACAACCTTGGTGATATTTTGATTACAACAACCTTGGTGATACCATTTTAAGTTTCAACAACAAATCACATGTTTGGATATTTTCTCATCTATCTAATATGATTTTCACGTGGATGTGATCAAACATGTGTTTCACTAGTTTTTATTTTTCCTTTTAAACATTAGAAAATTTAAGGTTTTTTTTTTTAATGAGGGTGAGTTTTAGAAAAAAAATGAAGTTATTAAAGTGTGTAAGCAATTTTGTCAGTAACTTGAGTAAACATCAACATATATTTTTCATAGTACATGAAACCGTACCAGAGATCATCCGCAGTAGAGTATTTTTATGGAAAACTCGTGGTTTAATCGTAGTTCAACTGTTGGTACCGTTAAATACCACCTAACAGTTTAGTCTCCAATACTAATATTTTGTGGTTGAATCACCAGTAATGTACGATTTCATGTGCCATGATTTTTTTTTATGTTATTGTTCTTTGATATCAAGAGTGATAAAAACTATAACACAAAACTTCATCCACCTATAAAATATGATTCAAACATCACAACTTATCGAAATGATTTCTTCCGTTTTGGTTAGTTTGTGGTTAGAGGAGGAACAGGAGAGCGAGAATTTAGTACGTATGCTCATTGACTTGCTAGTCGGCCATAGAAAACGTGGGGTTTAATTTACAACTTTCAAGGGTCAGTCAAAGTCTGCTACCTACCTAGCTGTATCGATGTGAAGGTGACGAACAATAAGAAGAAGAAGAAGAGGAAAGTTATAGACATTAAAAAGCGAAACGAAAAATTTAAGATATGTGGTATAAGAAAACATGGCAAGCGAATTAACTGTTTTCCTTTCAATTTTTATTATCGTCGTTGCCAACTTCGTTTGTTTAATATAATGTTAATGTGTGGTTCATGTTCTGAACCATTTGCCGGCCGGCAGTATTGACCGGAGGATACTTTTAGACCTTTTAGGTAGTCGCCGGTCACCGCCGCTAAGGGATTGACTAACCTAAGTCTAAACTTAATTATATGGTCACGAGTCACGACACATTGTCATGACCCATACAACAATGGTAGAGTACCACGTTTAGCTCAATAATCTGACATGTGAGACTATATAAGTTACAAGGCGGAATACCACGTAGTTCGTCGGATTAGTGATGTGGTACTCTGGATGAAGTAAACTCCGTCAAGCAGTGGCGGACCCAGAATTTTTTTATAAGGGTGTCCTCTTTTAAATAATAAATTAAATAAAAATAAAATTGCAAAAATGAAAATACCTTACTCGTACAGGTTTAAAAAGTCCATAATGTGTTCGGAAATAATTGTAGAATACACTTGGTGTCTATAGTGTTTAAAAAAATTGTCTCTATATACACTACTAGACAATCATTCACGAACTTATCGCATATTCGATTTGTAAACTTGTTCTTGATGTAACCCAAAGCTGAAAGACTCTTTCAACACTTGTCGTAC